TCTTTATGTATGCATGTATGTGTGTGTATGTATGTATGTATGTATGCATGCATGCATGTATGTATGTATGTATGTATGTATGTATGTATGTATGTATGTATGTATGTATGTATGTATGTATGTATGTGCGTACGTAGCATATGTATCTGTCTAAGTACACGTCGAGTTATCCTGTACCGTATGCTGGGTACCGGTTCTGTCGCAGCTGTTGGAAAGGCTGTTAGGGCGTTTCGCTCTCGCCTCTACACCCTAAAACCCGAAAGCTACTTACCCTAATGCTCGTAAGCAGAAAGTCCTACTAGCTGCAAGACCCTGCACCCTGGGCCCAAAAGCCTAAAACTTACAGCCCCCCTACAAGCAAGCCAGGCGCAAGTGCTCTCGGCTCCATGTGAAGCGTGCCTTCCACTCTGGCCTCATCGCAAAGGCGTAGAGACAGGGTTTAGGGTCGAGTTTAGGGCTGTGGATTCAGGGTCCTGGGCTTAATTCGGGATTCGGGGGTATAAGTTTAGTTACGATTATAGGGTGCAGGGTTAAGGGCAAGAGTGTAGCTTCAGGTTCCATGCCGTCCACAGCCTCAAAAAGCTTGGATATGTTGGTCCTTCGTCAGGTTTCGCAGACCTTTGAGTATGGGTCCGATTGAAGTATACATGGGATGTGTTACGGTTTCTGTTCCTTAGTTCGTGAAGACGGTGCAGATCTACACAGATTCAACGAACAGTTGCCAAGGGCATGGGTCCACTTCGAGAAAAATTACTCGCCCCAGGCAAGATCAGGATTTAATTGGAGCTTAGCAGCTTAGCATGATTTTGGGTGTGGAGCTTGAGTCTCCGCCTCCATTCTCAGAGTTAAGACCATACCGGACCATGGCGGCATAGCTGTTCGCATGCGCAAAAGCCGCGCTGCACTATGCGGAGCCGAAGGCCAGATGCCGCCCTTCGGTTAGGGTGCCGCTGCTGCAGCTGGGTACAAGGATCGCAAGATCGTGCCGTGCTGTGTGATGGCTGCTTTCCGGGGAAGCCATTGGCCCCTAGTCTGGGCCCTTATCCCT